CAACGCTCGATAACCAACACTTCAGCCACCAATCCTCCCAAAATGAATATTTCACACATCACCTTTTTATTCTCATCCCGAAAACGAATCAAAAAATTAGAAAAATAAATTATAAAAAGACATTCACTTAAATTCAAATAACACCAAATCAACTAAATACAGTTTTCCAAAACAAAAATGATTAATTAATTTATAAAAAAACTCTTAGAATTAAATAAATCAACATTTCCCTACATGGGATTTATAAAAAATTTTCGATTTATAATAAATTTTCCAAAAAAAAAAAAGTGAAAATGTGATTGCTATATGAGTTTACAATGCCTTTGTTTGGCATGGGGCTAAAATGAGGTTGGGGTTAAACTAGCCACAAAAAGACGAAATAAGTTAAAAAGCCAATAAGATAAAATGTCACATTCAAACTATAATCATTTCATTTTTTCTCTCACAAAAGTCAAAAAAATCAAAAATCTATCTCAAATGAGATTTTTAACTCCAGATAGTCAAAAAACTAAAAAACTAACCAACTACTCAAATGAAGCCAGTATATACAAAACTTTACTATTATTGTTTTAAAGATATTGGGGTTTTTTTTTTTTTTAAAAAAAAAAAAAACACACTTGTAGAAAATGTGCATTTATGATTTTTAAGTTTTTCCTTTTTTTTTTAGACAAACAGAGGCGGAAATAGTAACTAAGTTAAAACACTTCTAATATATTAAAAATTAAATTGATACAATTTACATTAAAAATTAAAATGACATAAATTTCATACCTTGAGAACTAGAAGTATTATTTTTAATTGAATTTTTACTATTTTAAATCAACAAAAAAGAGATTATTTGACGTGGTTATCTTGAATTTAATGGTATTTACTTGACAGAGTTATGTTGGAGATCAAATTGAAATACTTTTTACATATTAATATTAAATTAACATAATTTAAATATTTGACATCAAAATTATACGAATTACATATTTTGGGAACTAAAAATTAATTAACCCATAATTTTTAAAAGAGTTTACTAAAAGATGAAAATAAACCCAAAAATAAAACAACTAATAAATTAGTGCCAAAAATACCTCATAATCAAAACCATTTCAATTCATAATCAAAGATTTTAAAATCTCATAATGAAAGTCAAATTTAAATCATAATCTAAAGTACTATAAAAATGCAAAAAAGCACCACATAATTTTCGGAATTAAATTTGAATGAGCCGCATAACTTCATATTTTAAACTGATCGATTGAGTTAAAATAGTTTACTAAAAGACAAAATAAGTTAAAAATGTTGATAAAATAAATGTCACATTCAATTTATAATTATTTCACTTTTACTCTCACAATTATCAAATCAATTAAAAAAAGATTAATCAATTTTCTAAACGTAACTATTTTAACCAAATTAAAATAATCAAAAAATCAAATAACTAATTAAAATAACTGACTTTCCGAACAAAGCCAAAACGTGTTGGCTTAAATTACAACTTTACTTTATTTTGTTGTATATACTTCACATCTCAATGATGAAGTTTGATGAAGTTTATTTATACTGTTTTCAGTGAATCACAAATCTCTACAATGAAAGAATAGAATTTTCCAATTTCCCAAACGCGGCCCTTGTCTACTTTCCTATATAATAATTGTTAATGTTTGAGTAATTTAATATTGAATATTAATTGTTAATGTTTGAGTAATTTAATATTGAATATTACTATTTTGGTAATCTTATATGTACTAATTAGTATATTAATTAGTGTATTAACACTAATTATGATATTATTATTGACCACACTCATTAATCACATTATAAATACTAAAAACCTCTTAAATTATATCACATCATTAGTTGATACACTAATTAGTATATTAGTTGGTGCATATAACATTATTCTTACTATTTACTGATGTGATGTTTCTATCACCATTCTTTTTCTTTTTCTTTTTTTGACACCAAGCCATATCTCTATGTTGGAAAATTGCAAATTCTCAAGAAGATAATTGTTGAAAATTGGGGCCGGGCATTGAACTCGAATTTGGGCGCCCATGTGGCATGACCCATGACCAATTAATTATCCATTAAGTTTGAATTTGAATTATTGGGATAACCCACAATCAATATCTATCTATCCATCTCTATAGATAGATGAATAGATAGATATTGATTGTTATATATTTGATTATATACATCTGATATGATGGGATTGATATCATATACATTATGTGGTTTTTAACCCATAACTACCCATAACTTTTTTTCCCAGACTCTCTAACTCTCTCCCATATGAGAACGATCCAGCCTCTACACTGTGACTTGTGTGGGTGATACTCATATTGTAGTATCACTCCACTGGGTTTGTTGTTTGCATTCTTGAAACACGTGATTTACCTACGAGATTCTTCTTTTCAGGTTCTATCACCTAAGGTACGATCTGATAATATTTTTCCCCTGCGTTATGGTTTGTTTTACAATAATAATAATAACTGACTTGTACCTTTAAAAATTAAGAAATTTTAATATATATATATATATGTATGTATATTCTATAAAAAAAAAATACATACAATACAAAATAAATTTTTTGGTATGGTTTGGTTTGGAATTTTTAAAAATGGTTTTATGAGTTTTTAATTTGTATTTTTAAAAATTTTTAGTAACATTTTTTAAAATTTTTTTACTTTTTAGATCCACTTAATCTACAAAAAAAATCTTTCAAAACATTCATTAAAAATAATAAAATATAAAAATATACTAATTTTTATTTTTTATTTTTTGTATTCAATGGATTTTTTTTAAAAAATTTGCACAAGATTGTATTGTGGTCCCAAATTTGTATTGTGTGATCCTAATATGATGAATCGCAAGTCGGTAAATTACAAAGCAACAAAAGGAGACAAAGAAAGACAAAGAAAATATGAAGACACTTAACAAGTATTGTGAATAAATAAAAAAATAAAATATTTCACACACTTTTAAAATTTTAAGATTTTAGCCTTGCCGTGATTGGAGTCATGTGTACTCACTCCAAAAAAAATTGTGTCAACATTTGGTTGAGATTGAGACTCAAAAAAAAACGTAGGTGCATTTGTCAGTGTATTTGAATAAAATTAAGAGTGCTGTGTATAAGGGGGACAGGATTATATGTAAATTAAAATTTTAAAAAAGAATTAAAATTAGGAAAATGAGTGAGAGCACTAATTAGTGCTATCACTAATAATGTGGCAGTGGGTCTCACCAGGAATGATTTGATGTTTTGGCTTTAATGTTATATTTTTTTTTTTTTTTATTGAGTGTCATGTCATTAGTGGTTTTTTTAGACTTTTAAAATTAGTAATCTCTATTATTATTGTTAAAATTAAAAAGTTAGGAGGGATACGTGACCCTGAACCCCATGTCCCGCAGCCCCTGCTAGTGGCAGACTTTGAGAATTCCAAATGAAAGACTTGTGACAATCTGAAATTTAAATAACTTTACAGGGTTATCTTATCTCATTCCATTACAACCATACAATGAACGGGATGTGAACCATTGGTGGGTCCATGATGTTCTAGTAGTTCAGCTTTATGAAATAATAATGATTATCTTATCTCATTCCATTGCAACCATACAATGAACGGGGTGTGAACCATTGCTTGGTGTCGTGCTAGACTTTAGGGTGACTTTAGAGCTTCGGCCTCGTTTGGCAACCGAACTTTTTAGCTAAAAAGTCAAAAAGTTACTAAATTAGTCAAAAAGTCAACAACTCATATCAAAAAGTCAAAGATTCTCATTTCTCTATACTTTTTGCACATCTTTTCGTAAAAAGCCAAAAAGTCATCCCAAACATACTAGTTTTTTTTAGTTCATATTTTAGCCAAATAGCCAAAAAGTTACTAAATTAGCCTGTTCCCAAACGAGGCCTTAGAGTGGGTCATGATATGTTCTAGTAGTGCAGGTTTATGAAATAATAATGATCAAGTATAGATATAATTACTCCCATTATTTTGATTCTTTTAATTTTAGTTAACTTTGTGCCTGGAAAGTGGGTTTTTATATAAATTTTTTTAATTGTAAAATATTATTAGGAAATTTTTTTTTTATGTTTGGAAAGATAGTTGAATTTTTTTATGGTTGGATGTGATATTTGTGAAAGAAAAAGTAAAATAATTATGGGATTTGATGTGATATTTTGTTTGGATTTGTTTTTTTTTTTTTGGTTTTGCAAAAACTGTCTTTTAGTAAAAAAAAATAAAATAAACCTAAAAAAAATTGTTGCCAAACACCGCTTTTATTTTGATTCTAAATTTAGAATTTTATTTCAATTTAATTCAATTATTTACGATTGTTAATATTTTTAATAAAAAAAATATACATAGAAGTGATATGTGTCATGTTTTTAAAAGTAAAATTATAAATATGTTCAATTCATTAGGTTAATCTCAATCAATTCAATAATCATTTTCCATCAAAAACACTAACCACCTTATTTGGTTTTGATTGATTTGAAAATTGAACTTTTTGTTTTTTGTATTTTTTATTAATTTTTTTAATATTGTAGGTAAATTTTTTTACTTTTTAGATGCACATAACTTAAATGCATCTAAAAAGAAAAATGTCTATGAAAAAATATTTTAAAATTTTAATAAATACACAAGAATACAAAAATATACTGAATTTTTGTATTTGATGAATTTTTTTTAAAGATTTTTCTATAAATATTATACTTTTTAAGTGTATGTAGGTTAGATTCATCTAAAAAATAAAAAATATCTTAAAATATTAAAATTTTTTGACTAAAAACAAAAAAATAAAAAATACAAAATACAAAAAATAAAAAAATAAAACTCAAATTTCTAAAATCAAATAAGGTGATCAGTGTTATCAATTGAACCAAATTGATATAAAATTTAAATTAAGCATCAAAATTCAGCCATTAAAATACGATAGGCAAAAATAACACAAAATGTAAAATGTAGAAACTATCCATATAATTTGCCTTTATATATACTAGACTCAGTTCATTATTTTAAGAGCACTTTTCTCTTTCTTGTTTTATTTCCCATATTATTACTATTATTCCATATATCAAGTTATACATCCCACTCACTCAGCCTTCATGGAGAAAACTTGGTTAACTGCACTAGTAGTAGTACTAGTGTACTTGGCACAGTACTGTTTCTTACCTTGTTTGGCTATGAATGTTCCCAACTTCACCACTGATCAATCTGCTCTTTTAGCTTTCAAATCCTATATCACTTTCGACCATCCTCACCACATATTGACAACTAACTGGTCCTCAGCCACCTCAATTTGTGACTGGATTGGTGTCTCTTGCGGCAAGCGCCACTACAGAGTGGTGGCCTTGAATCTCCCAAACATGGGTATTGGAGGCACCATCCCACCCCACATTGGAAACCTCTCATTTCTATCCTACTTCAACATCACCAGCAACACTTTCCATGGTCATCTTCCCAGTGAGTTAGCTCGATTGCATCGCCTAAATGTTGTCGACTTTGGTGTCAACAATTTCGATGGAGGTGTTCCATCATGGTTTGGAAACTTACCCAAGCTTCAATATTTGCGTCTCGCAAACAACAGTTTTACTGGTTCAGTTCCACCTTCCATTGGCAACATGTCAACATTAGAGTCTCTCAATTTAAGGTCCAATTTTCTAGAGGGAAGAGTTCCTGAAGAGATCGGTCATCTTCCTAAACTGAAGTGGCTAAACATGCGATACAATAATTTGTCGGGGTCTATACCGCCAACCATCTTCAACATCTCATCACTTAAATTGATCGATTTCTCATTCAACATGCTGTCCGGAATTCTTCCAGAGGATTTGTGTGTTTTTCATCCTAAACTTGAAATTCTTGCTCTTTCCGAGAATGAGTTTGATGGCCAAATTCCATCAACTCTAGGTGAATGCAGAGAGCTCCAGATCATATCATTGTCTTACAATAAATTCACTGGTTTCATTCCAAAGGCAATTGGGAATTTGACTTTGCTTCAGATTTTATATCTGGGTGGTAACAACTTTAAAGGTATGATTCATTCTCATTTGTTATTGTTATTCGGTTTGATTCGCGTTTGATATAGAAGATTTGGAAAATTTCATACTATAAATCTTTTTTTTTTCTTTTTTTTGGCATATACCATATTCACAATCATGACCTTTGTCTTATTATGATCTCATATAATTTTATTTTGTTAATGATCAATGAGATTTTAATTATATCGCACGTGGTATTTGATTATAATACTTACTTATAGTTTAATTGTAACTTATTGTAATATATTAATTATAATTTATTGTAGTTATTATTTTAGTTACGATAGATAAAATCTTAGTTATGTCTGGTTTGATTATAAATTGTTGCATTTTTTCCAAAATAATAATAATTGTTGGATGACTAGGGGCGAAACTATAAGGGTAGGGAAGGGACCCCCTCCAAATTTTTGAAAATTATTTATTACCCCATACATTTTATCAATATTCATAACATGAATATTTATAATAAAGTTTTGACTATTTATTATCCCTTATGTTAGTTAATACTATCAGTTTTACCAAGTTAATTTTATTAATATAACTAGTACATATCACTTCAATTGTTAATTTTAAAATTCAAATGATTTGTCTACTTTTTAATTAGTATGTTTTATTAACTAATAAAATGCTTAAACAATAATTTAATTGATTATATTCTCAGATCTACTTAATAATTCAAAACTTTCAATTATAAAATAAATAAATAAAAAAAAGGCTTGTTAGATTCTTTTTTTCCTTCATGAAATACTTCTCCCAAAATGCTTATTATATGCTAAGAATTAGTTAATAATTCAAAACGTCTATGTGTTGAACCACCAACCTCTTCTTCATTGCAAGTATCTAAGTGTTGCTCCAATAACTATTTCTTTCACAACGCTTATCTCAAAAAGGGTAATTCTAAATACATTTTAAAAATTAGGTTGGGCACCTCATGACTTGGAATTCCCCAATTTAAAATTTAAATATTTATTTATTTGTTTAGACACCCCAAATAATACCTATTATAACCCTTAAAATCAAAAAAAAAAGAAAAAAAAGAAGAGAAATTAACTTTGGAAATTCTACCTTCTACACCTCAAGTCTAATGTCTACTATATGTCCGGAAACTTAATTCCGAAACTATGAAGTATTCAGATATTTAGTGCCGAACAAATGACATATGTTTGAATACTCAGTTCTGAAAAATACAAAATTGATTACACCATTTTCATTTGGATACTCAGTGTTAAACAAATTATATATATATATTCAGATATTTAATTTCGAGCCTATGAAATTTCTTCGGATGCTCAGTGCCGAACATAATACTGGATAGTTTTTTCTTTTGTTCGAAATTGGAGTGTGAACAAGTTAGAAAATTAAATACTTTCAATTATAAAATAAATAAATAAAAAAAAGGCTTGTTAGATTCTTTTTTTCCTTCATGAAATACTTCTCCCAAAATGCTTATTATATGCTAAGAATTAGTTAATAATTCAAAACGTCTATGTGTTGAACCACCAACCTCTTCTTCATTGCAAGTATCTAAGTGTTGCTCCAATAACTATTTCTTTCACAACGCTTATCTCAAAAAGGGTAATTCTAAATACATTTTAAAAATTAGGTTGGGCACCTCATGACTTGGAATTCCCCAATTTAAAATTTAAATATTTATTTATTTGTTTAGACACCCCAAATAATACCTATTATAACCCTTAAAATAAAAAAAAAAAAAAAGAAGAGAAACTTTGGAAATTCTACCTTCTACACCTCAAGTCTAATGCCTACTATATGTCTGGAAACTTAATTCCGAAACTATGAAGTATTTAGATATTTAGTGCCGAATAAATGACATATGTTTGAATACTCAATTCTGAAAAATATAAAATTGATTACACCATTTTCATTTGGATACTTAGTGTTAAACAAATTATATATATATTCAGATATTTAATTTCGAGCCTATGAAATTTCTTCGGATGCTCAGTGCCGAACATAATATTGGATAGTTTTTTCTTTTGTTCGAAATTGGAGTGTGAACAAGTTAGAAAATTAAATGTTCAAAAAATAGAGTCAAACATAGACAATTTGTTCGGATATAAAATATTTAACAATGACCATTATTTCGGAAACATGTTGTTGAATATATGAATTTTGTTCAGAAATAAGTTTTTGAATAAACGTAATTTGTTCAATACTAAATTTCCGAATCAATTTCGTAAACCAAACAACAAAAAACAGTGACTATCAAATGAAAACTTACTTTATCTATAGAAAATTGCTTGAAAACATCTTCTTTATTATCCATTGTTAATTTCAATGTAGAATAGAATACAAGAATGATGGGTTCAAGCGAATAGGGTTAGGTATGAAGATTCGAAGTGAAGAGAGTAAGAAGAGGAAAGAAAAAATATATTGGGGCTGATAATAAATAGGGTGTCTAAAACACTTTGATTTACACTTTTTTCAATGTTGAATACTTTTTGGTCATTTTAAATAAGGGGAAAGGATTCTCTCCGGTCCACTTTGTGGACTAAACGGTACTGTTGGGTTCATAGGGCCACCACAGGTCCCATTTTGATGATCTGAACCGTTAAATCTGTAAATCTCGTCGAGTACTTCTTCCATCCACAAGATTAGGATGATCATATATCGATAGCCCTTGATCAAATCATATTTTTGTTAATGGTAAATAAGATTTTAAAAATAAATTGCCCATAGAAATGTATTTAGATCAATGGGCTATCGATATCTAATTAACCTGATTTTTTGGATGGAAGAAGTACTCGACAAGATCTACACATTGACGGTTCAGATCTTTTGTTTAAAAATAAGTTTTTGAATAAACATAATTTGTTCCGTACTAAATTTCCGAATCAATTCCATAAACGAAACAACGAAAAATGACAATTATCAAATGAAAACTTACTTTATCTATAGAAAATTGCTTTAAAACATTTTCTTTATTATCCATTGTTGATTTCAATGTGAAATAGAATGTAAGAACGATGGATTCAAGCAAATAGGGTTAAATATGAAGATCCGAAGAAAAGAGAGTACGAAGAGAAGAAAGAGAAAAGAAATATTAGGGCTGATAATGAATAGGGTGTCCAAAACACTTTGATTTACAGTTTTTTCAATGTCAAATACTTTTCTGGTAATTTTAAATAAGGGGAAAGAATTCTCTTTAGTCCATTTTGTGGACTGAACGGTATAGTTGGGTCCATAGGGCCCACCACAAGTCTCATTTCGATGATTGGAACCGTTTGATTTATAGATCTCATCGAGTACTTCTTTCATTCAAAAAATAAGGCTGATTAGATATCAATAGCCCTTTGATCAAATCATATTTGGTAAATAAGATTTTAAAAATAAATTGTTCATAAAAATGTATTTAGATCAAGGAACTATCAATCTTCGATGAACATGATTTGAACTGTTGAATGATCTGAACCGTGCAATATGTAGATTTCGTTGAGTTCTTCTACCATCCAAAAAAATCAGATTGATCAGATATCGATTGCTCCTTGATCAGTCATATTTTTGTTAATGGTAAATAAGATTTTAAAAATAAATTGTTCATGAAAATGTATTCAGATCAAGGAACTATTCATATCCGATCAACATGATTTTTGGTAGGAACGAAATACTTGATGAGGTCTACATATTAAGCGGTTCGGATCATCGAAATGGGACCCGTGGTGGGCCCCACGGGCCCAATAGTATCGTATTGGACTAGAGAGAATCCTTCTCCTTAAATAAGGACTTCATAGTAATAAAATAGTTTTATTAAATTGGGGTGTCCAACTTAATTTTTGGGATGCAAATAGAACCATCCTATAAAAAATTATCTACGATTAATAATTTATTAAAATTGACTCAAATTTTATTTACTTATTTATTTATTATTTTTTATGCATATACTTTTCCACTCCTGATGATAATGTCTACCATATTTTGTTAGAGTAATGAGTTGTACTACTCATATATGTTATTGGTGCAATAATAACATTAAAAATAATAAACAAAATATGATAGATGAATATGATTGTCATAGAATTATTGATTTGGAAAACAATAAAGTATATTTGAATATTAAATTTGTGAAGAGATTAATGGATGAAAAAGAAATGGAAGAGGAAATGGATTAAACAAAAGTACTAATTTTTTTTAACAAATCCCTTCCTCCGATTCTTATTTCAATTTTTGATTGATTTAAATAGTGGATTCTAAAATTTTATGTGGCATCAATTCAATACAATTAAATTTCTTTCTACCTCTTGGTTGCCTTAGAAAAATAAAAAGAAAATGGATTTTTTTTGGGGGGGGGGCATAATTGAAATACATTTATCTTTTTTTAAAAAAATAAATGATAAATTTTCAAAATCACAATCAGTGTGTTTGGTTTCAGTTTTCTGGAAATTAAATTTTTTGTTTTTCATATTTTTTTATTTTTAGTAAATATTTTTAAAATTTTAAGTAATTTTTTAACTTTTTTAGATACACTTTACTTATATGCATCTAAACAACAAAATATTTGCGAAAAAATATTTTAAAAAGTTAATATGCACACAAAAATATGAAAAATGTATTGAATTTTTGTAATTTTTTTTTTGTATTTTTTGTATTTAAAAAAATTCACAAATATTATACTTTTTAAGTGTATTTATGTTAGGTATGTCTAAAAATTAAAAAAATTGCTTAAAATATTAAAAAAAAATTGGGTGAAAACAAAAAAAAAATAAAAAAATGAAAAAGTAAATTTTTTTGAAAAGTGATTCTAAAAACAAAAACTAAACAGAATGAGTAATTATTTTTCTTTATTATAACAAATTCAAAATTTAAAAATAGTATTAAAAAAGAATTACTAAAAGTTGAGCACAAGGAATATATATGTACATCATTTGCCTATCCAAAAGTGCAATCTATTAGGAGTGTTCGCGGATCGGTTTTGTGCGATTTGTGGTTTGGTTTTGACCCGCCCGCATCTATGCGGTTTGGGAAAAAGTCAACCCGCAACCGCCCGCAGTGCGGTTTGCGGTTTGTACGGGTAGGGTTTGCAGATGTGCGGGCAGTTGCGGGCGGTTTGCGGTTTACACTTTTTTCTTTAAAAATTAATTTTTGAGTTTTTTTTTTTCCATCGAATTTAGGCATCAGATTCATTTTATATATTCAAGATCATTTGACAACAATTTTCTGATGAGTTTACAAATAAAAATTGAATATCAATGCATTAAATAAAAGTACCAAAAATAAAGAGACCCTACACTAGCATTTTTGTCATGAAAAAAATGTATATCAATGCATTAAAAAATGTATATCAATGCATTAAGGTTGAACTCAATTAGAATTGTCAGTTCAGTAATCAATAATCAAACTAAAAGTTCTATCGGCCACCAGAAGGAAAATTTTATTAGGAAAAAGTGGATGAGTCACCAATAAAAATCATATAAGAAACCAAGTTTAGGACTTGATAATGGCGAAAGTTGAGAAATATTTAAAAATAAGGATTCTAGTGTTATAGATAACATAATGGTGCTCCTGTTAAAGTTACAAAGTTGGTATATAAAAAAAAATTAATAATAATAATTAAAGTGCGGGCGGTTTTTGCGAGTTGCGGTTTAACCCGCGACCCGCCCACAACTCGCAAATTTGTCATATTTCAAACTGCATCCGCCCACATTATGTTTGCGAAACCGTCCATTTATATGCGGGTTTGGCAGATTAGACGGTTTGAGCGGTTCGGATAAACCGTTGCCCACCCCTACAACCTATATGTTTGCCTACCCATTTGAAAAGCAGCTTTATTTTAATGTATGGATGTTGATACTACACAACACTCTTGGTAGCTAGGTACAATTCATAAATTATTTATTATTTTGCAGGCGAAATTCCACAGGAACTAGATAGTCTACATAGTTTGGAGATGTTAGGTGTGGAATCTACCAACGTCACTGGTCTCATACCATCTTTTATCTTTAACATCTCTTCATTGACATTGCTTAATCTACACACCAATAATTTATTTGGTAGTCTGCCAAGGGATTTGTGCTCGCATCATTCCTCGCTCCAAATTATGTATCTTGGGCAAAATAAATTGACGGGAAACATTCCAAGGACAATCGGCAACTGTACCTTGCTCTCATTATTTTATATTTCAGAAAATAACTTGACAGGTAATCCATCCATCTCTCGAACTTCAGTTGCTGACTTTGGGTAGGGAATGGGCACTAATTTTTATCACACTAAACACTACTTGCCTTTTTTGTACTTGTATCTGAAATCATAAATTTAGATAGAAATTTTTTAAAAAAAAAGAAAAAGAAAAAAATATATATATATAATTTATATTTTATTCATGTTATCTTCATCATTTCACTTTTTGTTTTTTTAATCCTCATCTCAATTCATAATTTAAACACGATCTTAATGTCCTCAAAAACTTTTCTAATTTCTTCAAATTATAAGAATTAAGTTTAGGAGTGTAACTTGGGTGGGCTCAATCCGAACAACTTGAGCTCAACTTGAAATTTTTTAGGACTTAAACAAAATATTTTTGAATTCGGTACGAACTTGGTTAACAATTCAGAAACTCGAATTAAATTTGGAAGAGTTTGGGCAAAGATATCAAACAACTCAACCAACTCAAAGCACGGATTATATATATATAAATTATTATTCGCTGGATGATATTTAAGTAATTTAGATCATTAGATCATATATTTAATACATATTATACACACAATTAACACAACACAAAAATAAATATTTTATCACTCATAAATTGTAAAGACCACTATAGCAGCATCTTTATTACATTATATAATAAATTATTTATTTTGATATTATTAACGATTTTATAAAACAAATGTAATTAGAGTCTAATGTTAAACAATTAAATAAGTTAGCTACACTAAAAAGAAAAAGAAAAAGGAAAAAAAACAACTAAAATTTATGTACAATTTGGACAATTCGAGTTTAATTTGGGTTAAACACGATCTTAATGTCCTCAAAAACTTTTCTAATTTCTTCAAATTATAAGAATTAAGTTTAGGAGTGTAACTTGGGTGGGCTCAATCCGAACAACTTGAGCTCAACTTGAAATTTTTTAGGACTTAAACAAAATATTTTTGAATTCGGTACGAACTTGGTTAACAATTCAGAAACTCGAATTAAATTTGGAAGAGTTTGGGCAAAGATATCAAACAACTCAACCAACTCAAAGCACGGATTATATATATATAAATTATTATTCGCTGGATGATATTTAAGTAATTTAGATCATTAGATCATATATTTAATATATATTATACACACAATTAACACAACACAAAAATAAATATTTTATCACTCATAAATTGTAAAGACCACTATAGCAGCATCTTTATTACATTATATAATAAATTATTTATTTTGAAATTATTAACGATTTTATAAAACAAATGTAATTAGAGTCTAATGTTAAACAATTAAATAAGTTAGCTACACTAAAAAGAAAAAGAAAAAGAAAAAGAAAACAACTAAAATTTATGTGCAATTTGGACAATTCGAGTTTAATTTGGATCGGACTTGGGAAGACACTGTGGGGATACAATCCAGACTTAGACAGCTCTCAATACAATTTGAGCTTAAGCTTGAACAACCTCTCACCTCACCCGAACAAGTTGGGTTGTTATAGTAATACATCATATGATTTCCAAGCTACATCTATGCCTTGCAAACTTGGGAAATCCTATGGTGTAGGGTGTGTACCAAATGCATCTTACCACAAATGGTATAGTTTTTTCACAAAATTTTATAATATCAATCACAAAATATGTAATATCAACACAAATTAACGTAACAAAATGTACAAATTTTTGTAGTTCATGTAACAAAAGTTTGTTGCTAGGTTACGACATCTTTTGTTAAGCTAATTTGTGGTGAGATTATACATTTTGTGATTGATATTATAAAATTTTATGATAAAATTATGCTAAGTTGTGATAGAGTGTGTAGTATAGGATTTCCCTGCAAACTTATATGCATTGATTACCAACTCATTTGGGCAAGGCATATAATTATCCAACCCAAGTCCTCCAAGGAAATTTTATGGTGCACACCCCTTTTAGGGTGTGTACGATATACACATTTGGTTACGATTTTTAAGTTAGTGATTATGATTTATTGTGTTGTTAATTATGGCACATTGTGATATTAGTTATCACAAAATTTTAATTATAATCTAAGAGTTGTTTGATTATACCTCATGTAATGTTCAGTTGTGATTCAATTTTTTCTTTTTTAGTTACAACTCCCATACTATTGAATTATTCCATTTATAATAATCAAACTTACAAATATTATAACTTACATATGTATATCATAGTATTTTCCATCCATCCACAAGAGTTGTTTGATTGTACCTTATGTAATGTTAAGTTATAATTCAATTTTTTTTAGTTACAACTCCCATACTATTGAATTATATCATTTATAATAATCAAACTTACAAATATTATAACTTACATATGTATACCATAGTATTTTCCATCCATCCATAGCATAAGTCAACCATTTATAGTACAAGTCTCATCTCTCATATCATCTCCAAACCATAAGAGAGCAAAAAATAATCCAAAATATAATAGAGGAAAATAAAATAAATAACGCAATCCTATCATCATAGTTATATATCATTTTCGTTAAACATAGAAACATAATAGCATTATAATTATGAATAAATCAAACTACAAGGTTGTTTAGGAAGTGCTAACTTAGTGAACTTTTTGACTTTTTACGAAAAAAATGTGAAATGTGAATTGGGGTTGAAGTGATGTGGTAGAGAGGTGATGCGAACAAAATAAGAGGCGGTGTGACCCAAATAAAATGATTGTGACCCAAATAAATAATGTGCTAAAATAGCATGTGTTATTTTAGAACATGCCAAACAAGACCTAAGTCTTGTAATCAATTAAGATTGGCTATGTGAAATTTTTTTCCTTCATTATGCTCTATCAAAAGTTATATACTCAAATGATTTAAACAAATTCATATATTTGTTTACTATTCTTATTCCATGTCAGTTTAGTCTTTTTCCATCCATAATATTTTCATAAATGATCATCAACTCTTTTCTCATTGTGCGACTAACTAAATCTTAATTCTCCTAATCTGTATTATTTATTAAGTAAAAATCAATTTTATCCAAAAGACTTTATGAGCTTCAAGACATTACTAAAATTTCTTAATTTTTTTAACTACTCTTAGTTGTAACTTGAATGAAAATAGTTAAAATTTAGTTTATTCTAAATTCTTTTTTCAATATATTTTAAACAAAATTTATGTTATTATTTAATTATTAAAATTATTTTTTAATTATTTATTTATTTTCGTGCGTAACATAGGTATTACACTTATTCAAATTGAAGTAAAGATTCAACTCTATTTGGTTTGATTTTAAAAAAAAAAAAATCTAATTTTTTTTCCAAAAACCTAAAAATAATTTCTTGAAAAAATCATAATAAATACAAAACACTCATCAGTTCATACAGTTTTAAATTTTTTTTAAGGCAAAAATAATTTTTAGATATTCAAAAAAAAATTTGCAGTTTATTTTTGTCAAACTAATTCCTCTTTTTTTCTTTTTTTCTTTTTAAAAAAAGAAGGTAAATTACACGGACATAAATTGCACTGACACCCCCTGAGATTTGGTCCAATTACATCCCACCCCTTGACGTTATGAAAATTACATTCTTACCCCTGTGGTTAACAATCATTTCACAAACCTCTCTGCTTATATAGAAGACAACAATTCCTAGTAGAAAAACAAAGAAAATTATATTGACAAAAAATAAAGTAAAGGAAGGGGGGGAACAGAGGAAGTAAAGCAAAGTAAGAAAAGAGAGAGTGCATGAGTTCAATGTCTTCATTCCATCTAAATAATTACAATGACAAGGGGATTAGTGTAATTTCTTAAACGTTAGAGGGTGATATGTATTAAAACCAAACCTCAAGGGGTGCAAGTGTAATTTACTCCAAAAAAATGAATTGTAAAATTGAAATCGAATAAGGTACATTTTGAGTAGTGCTTTTCTTCTTCTTTTTTTTATTGTTCTTTTCTTCTTCTTTTTTTGGGATATATTACATGAGTGAAATTTTTTTTTGGATAAATTACACTGACCTCATCTAATATTTGAAAAGAATAAAATAAACCCTATAAGTTTGATATAATTAACTAGGGTCCCTTTAGGATTATATAACACTTAACCCCCTTTTTCATTAGTAATTATTTAGACATATTGTCATCTCTTTTACACATAAATATTTATTATACCTTGATTATTCTTGTTTCTTTACACCATCTACATTAGTTTTGATCTATTTAACTTTATTAAAAAAATAATTTGGTGTAATTATGCCAAAACTATGAATTTGCTATATTTTCTTTAAACATAAGAAAATATTAGTGTAATTTATCTTATTTTTTATCTTGCACCGTTTATAACTTCTTGTCATATTTATATGTTACAAAATTGAACATTGAATTACATGTTCCTCTCATTATATTTAGGCATCTTGAATTGTCAATTAGTAATCAAAAGTTTCTCATCTACATATGGTCTTCTAAATTGGCCATATAGTACATGGAAAATACTAATCGGTACTCATACAATGTAAAAGACGACTTATGTGAATGCAAGCATTAGCAGTGGGTATAACTCCACCAAGAGAAAGAAAAAAGATGATGTCAATTGTGCAACTTAGAATATTTTGTCTTGATGTTAGTTACCAAGGTGAATGCCTTAATTAATATTTTTTCTTATCGAAGAATTTTTTTTTTTTTGGGATTAAATAATTGGTTTCCATTGATTTTTTTTTTCTTCAAGTTTTTGTGTTTATACCTTTTGGCAGGTCTGATACCAAAAGAGATTGGTGAGCTTCCAAATGTGAAAGAGCTAATACTTTCTGCTAACAACTTAATGGGTGCCATTCCAACATCAATTTTTAATATCTCATCACTTCAGGGTATATCACTTTCGAGAAATAAGTTGTCAAGCAATCTTCCATCAAGTATAGGGCTTTGGCTACCCAATCTTAGTTTCCTTTATCTTGAAGCAAATAACCTCATTGGAATTATTCCCGAGTCAATTTCAAATGCTTCTAAACTCACTTCTTTAGGCCTTGGTATCAATGCATTTACGGGTTCAATTCCAAAATCGCTTGGCAATTTACGACTACTCCAGTTTCTCAACTTGCAAGCAAATAATTTGACGAGTGGGTCATCTTCTTCCTCTCCAAAATTGAGCTTCTTCACTTCCTTGGTAAATTGCAAATATTTACAAGATTTGATCATAAATCAAAATCCTCTAGACGACATTCTTCCAACAACCATTGGAAATCTCTCTTCTTCCCTTGACAACATTCGGGCAGGATATTGTGGAATCAGAGGCAACATTCCTAGTGAAATTGGTAATGTAAGCAATTTGGCATTCTTGTTTTTGCAACAGAATGATTTGACTGGATTCATTCCCTCCACAATCAAAGGATTGAGAAAGCTTCAAATATTGGATCTTTTCGACAACAGACTGCAAGGGTCCATTCCATTTGATATTTGCCAACTCAAGAACATGGGTGATCTACGATTGAACCAAAATGAACTTTTTGGATTGATTCCTGAATGCTTAGGGAATATTACATCTCTAAGATATCTCTATCTCAATTCCAACAAACTAACTTTCGTCATACCTACAAGGTTGGGCAATCTTAAAGATATCTTGGAAATTAACCTGTCCATGAATTCTTTAAATGGAAATCTGCCTCCACAACTTGGGAGTTTCAAAGTTGCAACACTAATAGACTTTTCAATGAACCAATTCACAGGAAAAATCCCAAGTACAATTATAGGTTTGCAAAACTTGGTTACTCTTTCATTGGCACACAACAAGTTACAAGGATCTATACCTGACTCATTTGGTAGCATGGTGAGCTTGGAATTCTTAGATCTATCCTATAATGACCTCTCCGATGTGATACCCAAGTCCTTAGAGACACTATCTCATCTTTCATATCTCAATGTTTCTTTCAATAAGTTAAGAGGACAAATTCCAAATGGAGGACCTTTTGCAAACTTCACCATTCAATCTTTCATGTCGAATGAAGCATTATGCGGTTCACCAAAGTTTCAAGTCCCACCATGCCATACTAGTTCCTTTCATCATCTGAGGGAAAAAAGAGTGGCTCTAGCTTTATATATTTTGTTACCTATTGCATCCATATTGCTTGCTACGACCTTTGTGTTCTTGTTCATAAAATGTCGAAGAAAAAATAAAACTCCATCCAATGTTGATCTATTACCAACAATAACACCTCCAAGAATCACATACCAACAGCTTTTCCGAGCAACTAACGGGTTTAGTGAGAGCAACTTGCTTGGTATGGGGAGTTTTGGTTCTGTCTACAAAGCTATCCTTGAAGATACCACAACTTTGGCTATAAAGGTATTCAACCTGCAAGTGGAAGGTGTATTCAAGAGTTTTGACGTAGAATGCGAGATAATGCGACACATTCGCCATCGCAATCTTACTAAGGTCATTAGCAGTTGCTCGAACCTTGATTTCAAAGCTCTAGTACTTGAGTATATGCCTAATGGGAGTCTTGAAAAGTGGTTGTATTCGAACAACTATTTCTTAGATATGTTGCAGAGAATAGACATAATGATAGATGTTGCATGTGCTTTGGAGTATCTTCACCATGATTATTCAGTGCCTTTGGTTCACTGTGATTTGAAACCCAGCAACATCCTACTAGATGATGATATGGTTGCACATGTGAGTGACTTTGGCATTGCGAAGTTATTAGATTTGGGGGAGAGTGTCACACATACTCTCTTGCCTTTGTACCATAGCAACATTTGGGTATATTGCACCAGGTGACTTCTAAATTTTAATTTATATTTTCACGTTTTTTTTTTTTTTACTTATATGTTTCCAATTTATATAGACATGCACTTTTCATATTATAGCGCAAAATTTTAAATATAATTTTCATAGAAATTTTTATGATTTTGTTGACAACGAGCTAATTCTCTAAATGGTAAATTACACTGATCTCCATTGAATAATGATAAAAATACAAAAAATTTCGCAATTTCAACATAATGATATCGACCTCCCTTTCAATAATAGAAAAATTAACAATGTCAACTTTAATAAGTAAATTACTTTTTTGTCTATACACATTATATGTTTTATTTGTCAAATTTAACAATATTACCAAAAACAAAATTACTCTTTTTTCATATGACCACCACTATACACCCTTCTTTCCAAAACAATTGACCCATCCAACACTTGCCACCATTGCATACCCCTCCAATACTGCCACCCTCTAGCACGCCATGAATCCAACCACCGACACATACCAAGTTGCCACCACCAAAATTTTATAGTTTTCTTGATAAAATGATATTTGTTTTGATTGTAGAGTTCGGATTGGAAGGATTAGTGTCTACAAGTTGTGATGTTTATAGTTATGGAATCTTGCTTATGGAAACATTCACAAGAGTGAAACCCACTGATGAAATGTTTTTTGAAGACATGACGATGAAACGTTGGATGAGGGAGTCATTACCAAATTCAATCTCTCATGTTATAGATGCTAACTTGCTTAAGCCAAAGGAAGAACACCTCACTGCAGTTGTACTGCAGTGTGCATCATCCATCATGGAATTGGCTTTGAGTTGCTCTGCAGAATCATCTGAGGAGAGGATGAACATGAAAGATGTTCTCGCAACACTAAAAAAAGTTAAACTTTGGTATTTAGCAAATTGTGGAAAGAGTTGCAAGAAGAAAAGTTGGGACTTTAGTATCTAGCCAATTGCAACATTCAAAAAGGTTAGCCAGATGCATCTGTAGCTGGTAGTGATTACATAGTACTTGGATTGCTTATTGTGTATGCTTTGTATTTATTTATTTTTTTCTGCAACCTTTACATTTGGTTGTAGTATGTGTAAGTAGTTAGCTTCAAGAACTCAAGAAATATATATATATATATAGTTAAATATGGTAAATGTATTCAAACATGTCTTTTTGAGACTTTCTTTCCACCCCATGGTCACTGATTTTGAATAAACTTTTGGAAATCCAACGACTTTCAATTGCCACATGTGCAATAATTTTGTTGGCACAACTATATCAACAATCTTAACATATATAGATTTTTGAAAGAGAAGCTTTAATAAAACATTGCTTTAATAATTGCTTTAACAATACCACTTCTTCTATACTTATTAAAAAATTTAATGAGAATAAATTAATGAAAACAAAAAAAAATAATAATTAGATTACAACAGTGTCGTCATGTGATCCTATGGAGCAACAAATGACCATCATACTATATTGCATTTATTTAGAATGCTAGAAAGGTTGGGTTGGTTTCTTTTCTAATGCTAACCCAGTTTATAAATGATGAAGCAAGGCAAGCCTCAAGAAAGTATGGACTGGTTCCTAGCTCCATCTTGGCCAGCATTGTACTCTCGATAGGTTGGCGTCCTTAAAGCAACTACTCATTGTTGTGTTGCCCCAACCCAAGGAAGGGCATTTGGTGAGGAGCATTGTTTTGAAGAAGAGAAATTCATGGTTGAAAAACTATTTCAAGAAGGCAACTGGGCTAGAGTGTTTTCACCAAATAATGCATGTGGATTGAGCAAACCGCTGCTAGCCTTTCCCTCTCTTTAAGAACTGTTGACATAAAACCCGCTTTTCCTTTCTATCACGACCTAATTCTGCTCCTAATAGAATGATGTCGTGATGGCCAATAATCTGAGATTACCAAAGGCCAACTTACAAAGAATCACGCAAATAGAGTATACATATGGAGCATACATGGTCCATAATAGTTGTGTTACGCCCCAATTTGCAGGCCGTTCATAAATCAAACCAACCTCAAATTTAAAATTCTAACTAATTAATAACCTAAAAAATACAAATTGGCTCCAAAATAATTACACAAATGTCTATAATTTATAATTTATACAAATCTTTAACAACAACATATAGTGGTGGGCCCAAAAATCTCTAACTCAATAATTCTTTAAAACTTCAAATTCGATCTCCACTAAATTCCTCCACACCTGAAAAATTAATTAATTCGGGAAGTATACAATACGACAGGAACAACAATGCTCAAATAAAGAATAAATCAACATGGATCCAACAATTTATGACAAGGCATAAACGATTTGATTCGAGATACCAAGTGTAGACACCCCATTTTTGACCGACCTTGAGACTCAGACGTCACCAGTTGAGCACTCGGTGATATTGCATATTGTGCTTGCTCAGAAGTTTCAGAGTCTCGGCTGCGAGCCTTGCCTCCGGACTTCCGGGCTCTTTTGCGCTTTGCCTCGGTTTGCGAACCAGGCTCTGTTTTTTCTGTTTTCTCTTACCGAAGGGAGGGAGAGGTCTCGTAGATCATCTCTCGGTGGTCGTAGGCCATTTTGCCCGTTTGGAGCCTGGTTTCCGATTTTTCGGAGCCGTTGGCCGTGTGCCTCGGTTCGGGACCGCCTAACCACCTCCGTTTGCCCCGATTTTTGGCATACATCTTATTTGCTCCCCTTTGAGGGACACTGTGGTCCAAGAGACCAACTTCGTGGTCGAACACCACTTCCGGTGCCTAACAGCCCACTTTCGGGGCCCCGAACTGCGTGTTTTGACTCCCGAACCTTCATTCTACATTTTTGGGCTCCGACCCGAACTTAAGATAGTCATATTTTGAGGTCCTTTTCATGTTTGATTAAGGACCTTTTGCTGTTTGAGATCTCCTCCTATCACTTGCTTCTTTAACGCTCTTTTAGGCCTTTTTTTGCACGGTATTTTAAGCTTAATTGTGAGCTATTTCGGACTTGGTCATAAACTACAAAGTGTCTTGTTTTGATCCCCTCTTCAACTTTGTTGAAGGGATCTCGGCCATTTGGATCCAGAAGCTACCACTTGCCTTTATATCCCACTTTTTGGCCTTTTTTGGGGGGAAACTTGAATTGTTTTCCCCCCCTTTTTTCCCCATCTTTTCCAACTCTTTTGCTTATAAAACCAGCAGCTCCCATCTGTGTTGGAGGGTTAGAAAATTTTGGTTTTGAGCTCTCTCATTAAATTTCTCTCTCTCTCTACTCTAAACCTCAAAACCCCTTAAGTTCTTAACCATTTTTACACACCATCACCTAGCACCACACCACCACTTCCATTTCCAGCAGCTTGGAGGTCTTCTTAGAGGCTAGGAGGCAGAAAATTTGGTCCAAGAAGTTGCTAAAGATTGCTCTACAAGGGTGAGTTACCATTTCCCTCTTTCTAGCTCTTTTTTTGCAACATTTCTTAGCCTCTCTTTCTTGTATATCTGAGCTCCGGCCATAACTGAAAGTAGTGTTTTTTTGAGCTCTATTTCATGTTTCATTAAGGGACTTTTGTCATTTGAGGTCCCCATCTTGCACCTCCTTCTTTATCTCTTCTTTAGGCCCTAATCTTGCATGTTATTTTTGGCCTATATGTAATCTGTTTTGGGGCATGTTATAAACTGTAAGTGAGATTATTTTGATCCCTTCTTCAACATTGAAGAAGGGCTCATCACTGTTTAGAAACCCCATGTGCTACTTGCTTTGAAATCCATGTTTTTGCCTCATTTTGCATGATTTTTTTAGCCTATTTTTCTTCTGTTTTTGGACCTTGGTCCTAACTTAAAGTGGCCATATTTTGACCCCCTTGTCATGTTTAATTAAGGGTCTTTTGCCATTTGAGGTTTCTATCTATCACTTGCTTCATTATCAGGCTTCGGGGCCATTTTGCATGCTAGTTTAGCCCCACTTGCGTTCGCTGTTTGGCCTTGCTTAAAACTGAAAAAGTGCTTGTTTTGGGGCTGCCTTGCTTCTGTCTTTACATTCCATGTTCAAATTATGCATGCATTGTATAGCTACAAGTCATTTCATGTGCTTAATCTTGCATTTCGGGATTGATTTCATGCATCGGGTGTCATTTTGCCATCTTTCGGGGCTGTTTTGCATCATTTATTGCCTCTGAAAATTTGCTTGCTAGTGTGCCATAATCCATGCTTT